CTGAGCTCAAGTGTTTGTCTCGGTAGTTTAATTTAAAAAAAAAATCTGCCTTCATCCCTTCAAATATTTTATTTTGAGAAAACTGATGACAGTAAGGACCTGCAATTTTGTATAATTCTTATTAAGAAATGCACTTTTTTATTTTATTATTGTTTTTTTTTGTTTGTTTGTTTGTTTTTTACCTGCAGTTCTTTTTGTTCCTTTCTTCAGGCAAGAAGAAGAAGAAGAAGAAGGGTTATTCATCTCTTATGAATTGAGATGGAATAACCCAATAAAACAGGAGGACCTTCGGTGTTGCACACACTATGAAAGCTTGTTTTTGCCAACCCCCCCCAAAAAATGCCATTCACAACTCAAAATTTGCAATTATTATCCCAAATTTTCAACTTACTAACTCAAAGTTCTGAGAAGTTAATTCTCAGAACTTTTTCGTGTTATATATATATATATATATATATATATATATATATATAAACACAAAAAAGTGGCTTTTGGATGACAACAAATGTTTGGTTGGTTGTTTTTTTCTGTGGCAAAAACAAGCTTCCATAACAAACCACTGGTGCTCAAGGAGGGGAAGAAAAACAGGAAAATGCTAAATGGAAAAATTACAACCAAAAACAGGCATTAAAAAACCAGGTCCAGGACGTCACAGGCAGTTTGGAATAAATAATAAAGGCTTTTATATTATTTTAGTAGCCAAAACCCCCTAAGCTTCCACCTTCTGGCTGTTGAGACACAAAGAGGCCCTGTGATATGTTTTTCAACCTTTTTTGTAAGCAAGGATGGAAATGAAGAACCCCTAGTGAGAGATTTAAGGGAAGGGGTGTCTATAACTTAGAAAGTCAAAGATTGGCAGCAAACCACCTTTTTAAACCTCAGACAACAGCCAGAAAGAGACTCAGGTGCAGTGTATGGCCAGTGACACTTGCACCTGAAGACCAGAGTGTGCCAGCACTATAACTAACAACATGAGTATGATTAGGCAGATAAGGATGGTTTTTAATTTCTGACATGAAAACAGTCAAATGTAAGTTAATCAGCAAGTTAGTGTTCTTCGTTGATAATTTAACAAGACAGCTCATCTGCTGATTGGCTGATTGATGCTGTGTTAACTCGGGTATTAGCTAGAGTTAAAAACAAAGTGTCTCTCATTTGGTGTGACATTTATAGTTTGTGATACGCTTTTCATATGAGAGTGAGTGAAAAGTGTGACACTACACCATTTCAGACATGTAAGCTGATCCATCCACCCTCTGGACAGATCCCGGTCGATTGCAGGGCCTGCAGCCAGTTTAGAATCACTACTCAACCTAACGTGCGTGTTTTTGCGCTGTTTTGCACAGCAAGACTCCAGCAGGCCACTGGATTTGAACCTAGGACCTTCTTGCTGTGAGGTGACTGAGGTGACCACCTTAACTTTAAAACAGATTGGCTTAAATTGTTTCAAGCACTCTTTTGATGAGGTGTATGGCTTTAGCATTGTGCTCATGGGCAGCAAAGGGTCCCCACGCTTCATGGCTGAGGTTTTTATCCTGGAAAACTGTCTTTGGTCTGGATCAGGCATCAAGCGTTTGCCTACAGATTTAACAAACTAGTTTAGCGCTAAAGTTCTTTTTGGAGATTTGTTTCATGGCACGACTCCCATGGAAGCCCAGTCTGTGCCAGACTTTGACGCCAACAACTGCTTGCAGATCCCTTGGTGAAGTGTGGGGGCTGAGGTTTCTGGCACAACTTCACCTTCTTCTAAAATGTTCAGAGAGGAGCGGTTAAAACTCCCGTCTCGCTTTTAGACTAAGGACAAACTTTATTGTTTGACGTACGCATTTTGGCTGATAGCCTTGTATTTATATACCTCCATCATATGTACCCACCTGTTTGAAAATTGCTAGGGTGGCCAGTCCTGAACCAGTTTAAACTGTCTTCTCCACAGCACGGAGCTATATTTCAAACAGTTTCATTTTTCAGACTCATAAACACCCCTACATGAATGGCTACCTTACCATGATGGAGGAGTTTGTGTGTGGCTTTTGTCCATTGGTAGGGGATTTGTCCTAGTTGAGGGGACAGATGAAGAGCAATTCACAAGACCCAAATGAAGGGGAAGAAATCAAGGTTTAGTTTACCCTCCCTTGAACAGGATTCTCGTGGCCTCACCCTGGAGCCAGGCCTGGAGAGGGAGGGTGGCTGGGCCTTATTCCATGGGGTTCGAACAGGAAACATGGGCCTGGACTCATGTCGGGCCATCTCCTGCAGGTGCAATGTCTGTCGGGTGGTGGTCAAGGGCAGAGGCCCTGATGGTCCAATGCCCAGCTATCGAGGCTAACTGTTGGGACATGGAACCCTGGGCAGAGATTATGCCTCTCTGCTGGCCTGGGAATGCCTTAGTATTCACCGGATAAGCTGGAGGAGTGGCTGGGGAGACAAAAGGTCCTGGCTTCTTTGCTTAGGCTGTTGCTCCCGCAACCTGGCCCCAAATAAGGGGAAGAAAATAGATGGATGGAGACTTAGACATCCACAGCCCTTTCTGAAGGCCTTAGTGAGCTAACGCTTCGATAGTAAAAAGAAAAGCAGACACTAAACATCCAGTTTGAATAAGATGGGTGCCACGTGTGAATGTCCGTACTCCATGGATAGTATCACCCAAAAGCATTAAGTGAGGCTGTGAGTATGCTGACTAACAGGACAAAAAAAATCGACTTTTTAAAGTAATGCATTAAAATACCCTGCAGATGTTTACTCCTTTTGTTGGTGCACATACAAAAATTAGATTATTTTAGTTAAATCGGGCATGTGGTAAATTAAAATGGCAGCAGTGGCAGTGAAAAGCATTTATAATTGGCCCCAGCGTGCCTTTCTCACATGATAAAAATTCACGGGACAAGTCACATGCAATGGAAGTGGTCATTAATTTTGGATCCTGCTGCTGTTGCACGTTCACTGAAGCCAAAGATTAAACGGAGTTGAGAATTTTATTATTGGAGGCTGATCAGACTGATCCCACAAAGATCCCAATTAGTGTAAGAAAACCATGAGTGAGTGTGTGAGCATGGACGTATAATCTTAATGACTTTATAGTGATTAAAATCCACAGCTTCAAATTTAAGAGATACACTCTGGGTCACAAATCTTCAGCAGTTTATTTGTAAAAAGAGTATTTTAGTAAATCGGTTATGCTAGAATAATCTCCAAATTATGACTCATTTAGAATGTGAAATGTTATCAATTGTATCATCTCTCACATTTATATATAAAAGGCAGCTATATGTGCTGTTATAGTGGTGAATGTTCATATTAAACATGGGCAAAATTTATAATAAATAGGTCATGTGTGCACAAATAATCTAAATGCTCTATTTGAAACCATTATTTCTTAGCTCTGTATGTCAAATAGGCAATCTCAGGTATATAATAGCTCCACCCACCTGCTGTTCCAACCTTGTGTTTGTGTGGGACAGCCAGTTAGAAGAAAGCTGGCTTTAAGGGAGAGGTGCTTGTGTCAAACAGAGGCCCAATATTTAATGTAATGGATCTATGTTGTCTCTGTGCTTTTAGATGCTTTGATGTGGCTGTTCCGAGTTCCTGCCTTAGTCTGTGAGAGCACGCTGAGCTTTGCCAGGTTTTGACTGCATTACCTGTATCCGGCTGAGGAAGACAGTGAGTAGAAGGAACAGAGAGGAAGGTGCAGCAGTGAGTCGTATCTTTAGGCACAGCTGTGTTTGTGTTTTGAGACATTTAGACTTTGTAAAAGATGGATGCAGCCACAGTGCAGTGATGTCGTCCAGCAGTCAGGGAGATCCCTTGTGAGGTCTGATGTTGAGCATTTCCACTGGTGAACTAAGAAGCAAGATTTGGGCATGCCCAGGTAACTTTGAGTTTAGCTCTGGGTTTTAATTATTACCAAGACAAAGACTTCTTACTGCAGTACATCGCCATGGTAACTTATGCTGCTGACTTCACTTCTCTGGAAAGTACCATCATTCCTGGGAAATGCCACAGACCTCTGTCGACCGTGTGACAAATTTACAGGTAAACAGCATTTAAGTTCTTATTTATATATTACATTACTCTCAGGTCATTACACTGCACCAGGACTGGCAGCCAAAGAAATAAAAAACTAAAACTTTAATGGAATAACTATAACCCATCACATTCTAGTGATACAGATGAGTCTTGTTAACTTGCATGATGTGTTTGGTGTTTTTTTTTTTTGCTTTCCTTCCTAGCTTCAAAAAGGGTTAACTTTAGTTTTACTGACCAAAGGACTTAAAATGCAAACACACACACAGCTGACTGTTTCCTTTAGCCTGGATTATGTGAGCAACTTCAAATTTTTCCTAATACTGGAGTTTCCTTTCTTCTTTTAAAAACATATTTAAAAACCAAAAGAATAAATAAATATAATAATACAAAAAAAAATGTCACTCTGCTGCCAGTATGTTTGTGACTGGTCAGATGTTTCCAGCGTAATCCACTTCACATGAATATGCCAAAAGAGAGAGTGATAAACAAATGAGATCACTTTGCTTGATTGGAAGGGAAAGTGAAGACAGCTAAATGGCAACCCCGAATATGATATCCCTATGTGAATTTGCGTCATCCAAGTCCAAGCACAAGCGAAGTGGTATATCTAACCAATCTCAATGTCGTTTATCCTTTTTGACTTGAACTGGGACCAGTTTACAAAACAATCATCATATTGTGTTGATTACGACTCAAAACTAGCAACTGAGATAATAAACTCAGCAGGAAACTGTTTACTGAGCTCAAACAAATGTACCCAGTTTTGTACCCTCTGCTGGCCAAGAGAAAGAATGGGGGTTTAACACATCTGGACTGGTTTTACCTTTCACTTACGACCACCTTTTATATACAGTTTATGTTAATGACATCCACTACCAGCCCACCAGAGCCCGTTTTCCCAAATATTCTTTAGGACATACAAATAAAGATTTAAAAAAAAAATTAATATCAATGTTTCCATTTAATAAAATATATTTGCAAGCAAAATAAACTGACATTTCTGTTTTATCACTCCGTTTCTTAGCCAATTTTAATAAACAATTATTCAAGCAAACGTTTTGCCATGAGTGCGCCACTAACGTTAATTACTCAGCCAAACCAGACTTTTAAAAACAGTTATTGCAGCTGCAGAAACCTAAAGTCTCGTGTCTACTAGTCTCATTTATTGGTTGTGCAGTTGTACATCTGTTCTCATCTGCCACACAGTTATTAAAAGGTCATTCAAGCTGCTACGTAGCTTTGCATCGCCAATGGTACAAAAGGGAAACAACAACTCAAAGTGGAATGGCTACACGAGAGAGCGAAAACAACCATCTTTTGATCAACTCATCAATGTTTAGTACATACACATCATCTACAAGTGTAACAGTAGCAAGAAAGGAGCATGAGAGAAGCAGTCTATTAAGCTTTAAAAACTAGAATATGCTTAAAAAGGGATTTACTAACCACAGAGAAAGAAAAAGAAATACAATTCAAAATACTCTCTTTTCAAAAAAAAAATATCTTGAAGTGGCTGTGACTAGCAGCAGTATCAAAAGTCCCCTTTATTTAAAATGTATTTCCGCAATCAATTTTTTCAAAAGACTTTCCGCTCTGGGCTTAATTTACATGTTTTTGGCATCACACTGCTCTTAAGTGAAACCCCAGAAGACAATTTTCCTCTGCAGTTTTACTAGACAGCACTTTCCTATTTACCAACGCTTCACTGATAAATATGATCTGGATTTTAACACCATGTGCACTATGTACAAAACAAAAACTAAACTTAAAGAACGATTAGGATGCCTTCGCAGATTTTGAGGTCGGAAATGTATCCAGAATAGAATTGGGTAATCTTGAAATGAACTGAATTGTGATTTTTGACAAGAGGGGAAACCACCCCAAAAACAAGCAAACAAAAAGGGTAAGATACTCCCGTGAACTACAGCCACTCCAAAATTAACTGCCATGAGTTTTTGGTTGGTAAATCATTACTTAAAAAAACCAAAAAACAAACAAACATGAAAAAAAAAAACCAAAAAACAAAAAACCTCTTTTCACTCATCCGAGTCACGTATCAATACATGATTTAAAAAGCAAATCTTAAATTACAACAGTGATGTTTTTGTCTGTGGAGGACTTTTGTTATCCTAAATGCCAAGAATTAAATTGCAGACTTAATAAAAGGGCTGGGTTTTGTTTTTCCTTTTTAAAAACAGGGTTGACCCTCACACCCATCACCGGTCCATCATGCTGAGGATCATCTCAGGAGTCAGGTCCCCGTTCGGAGGGGCTTCAGACAGCTGCCCCGCCTGCGTGGCACCCTCTCCCTGGGTCAGCTCCTCCATCTGGATGGTCGACTTCCCTCCACCCACCACCACCTCCTGTGCGGCCTCATTGGCATCATCGTCTTGGTCGGCTCCGACCTCCTTCTTCACAATGATGTCGTCGACCTCTCCGGTGGCCTCGTCCTCCACACGGATGATAGCAGCCGCTGTTTAGGACAATTTCAGGTCAGACTAAAGACACACCTTTTCAAATTGGTACATTTGTTTAAAGGGTACTTTGTTATATGTGAAAAATGCAACACTACACACTACGAGTTAAATGACATCAAAAACGGTCACCAATTAAACGCTTACTGTCTGGTTTGCTCTTTGGGGGGCGCCCACGCTTCCTCTTGACTGGTGGCTCCACTGGGGCTGGGATAGGGACAACAGGCGGGGCCTGCTCCACCTCCATCTCAGTCAGCATATCGTCTTCCTCCTCTACCTCATCAAGATCGCCCTCTATATTTTTTTTTAAAAAAAGGGGGGGAAACAATAACTTGTTAGACTTGATCACATTTTCTTGCACAGCCTTAAAAATCAAGATCTGCAACAATTTAATGTAGCACCCAAACCTCTTTGACAGGCTCCTAAATATTTACTTAAGACACTTTGATTATTTGCATATCAGCTTTTCAAGCACTTGTGTACGAGACCTGTGTCGTCGTCATCATCATCATCCCTCCTGGACTGCATCTTCCTCTTCCTGCCACGTCGTCCCTTTTTGGGTGGTGGAGTTCCGTTTTCTTCTAAAGAAGCGTCACCTGTACAGCTGTCAGCATGACGCAGCATCGTGTTCTGTGGAGCAAAAACACAGAACTGTCACACCTCTGTGACATACGCACACAAACAACCCTCTCATGTGTGCACTAGGATCTCAAGGGTCAGTCCTACCCTGCGAGTGAATGTCTTGCTACATTTGTTGCAGACGAAGGCAGTGGGGATGAAGTTAGGATCGTGGTAACGCTTGAAGTGCATGTCCAGGAGCTGCTTCTGACGGAAAGTTTTCTCACACTGGCTGCAGGCGAATGGCTTCTCCCCTGTGTGCGTGCGCTTGTGCATTATCATGTGGCGTTCCTGTTGGGTAACAGAACAAAAGACATTTAACGTTTGTTTAGCAGTAAAATAAACAGCAGGAGCATAACGTATTCCAGCCCAACACGGACCTGTCTGCAGCAGTAGTCACACTGGTCACATCTGAAACGCTTCTCATTCTTGTGAGTCTTCTGGTGCTGAATGAGAGCATAGCGCTCATGAAACACAGCGTCGCAGTAACGACATTTCTTCCCCGTCTCAATAAAAGAATGCTGTTTTCTCAGGTGAACACCTAAGATGGAGACAAAGGCATAAAAATCCAGTCAGATAAATGTCATATTGCCTTGTTATAGAGATAAAGACCCCCTGAAATATTCTGGTTCTCAACACAAGGCAATCCACCAACTTGAGAGCAACATGCTTACGTTCCTTTAACTGTCCTTCTGCATGCAGTTTGAAGTAGAAAAAGTCTCAAATCACTCACCAAGATCACTTTTACGTGCAATGACGGTATCACAGTGTGGGCAGTGAAACTTTGCCACATTCTCTGTGTGTTTCTGCAGGATGTGCATCTTCATGGTGCCGCTTTGTGTGAAACGAGCATGGCAGATGTAACACTCGTATGGCTTCTCACCTGCAACAGAAGAAGACGAGTCAGCTACTCTCCTAAAAAACTGGAGCTAAAACACACTTTGACTGAAAATCTAAGAGGATTTTACCAGAGTGTGTCCTCATGTGTCTCTTCAGCTTATAAGTGTCTCTGCTGGCATAGCTGCACAGACTGCACTGGAAGGGTCGCTCCCCTGTGTGAGAGCGGATGTGCCTTTTCAACTTGCTCACCTGGGAAAAGAGAGACACATTAGCCTTTATCCCATGGTATAGAGACCAGGTTGATGCCCAATTAAATAACTAATATAACTCACCTCGACACTGGAATAGTCGCACATGGAGCACTTAAAAGGCTTCTCGTGTGTGTGCTTGTAGCGACGATGACGCACTAACTCACCGCTGGTCACAAACGCCATGTCGCAATCTGTGCATTTATGTGGCCGAGTGCCTTTAAACGAAGAAGAAAATCAGAACTGTATATTAACTGCTGGTGTAGCTGAAATCTGAAATACAACACTGGATGAAGAGGAGATAAATGCCCACTAAATTTTGCAGTAATAATAAGTAAACACTCTAAAAGTTTACTTCCTCGCTCACCAAGTCCATCCAGCAATTTGTTTCCGTTTCTGTAATTTCTCCAAATACCTGTGTGTGTGTTGAGGTGGTTTCTCAGCAGTGTGACTGTTCTGAACGCTCTCCCGCACAAGTGACATTTATGCGGCCTCTCATCTGTGTGGCTCTTCATGTGTCGGTCCAGGTTAGAGCGCCGTGGGCAGGTGTAGCTGCAGAGCTCACACTGGAAAGTCTTCTTAACACCTGGACACAGAGATGTTCAATTTAGCACTGGGAAAGAAGAAGAAAAAAAATCTCTTGCAAGTTTTCGTGTAACCTGATCAAAGTCTAACCTTTTTTCTTGATCTTTGTGGGCTTCGGGGGCTTCATGTTGCCCACAACCTTCTCAGCATTAACCTCTGACAGCAGTCCCTCCTGCTGTTCTTCCTCAAAGTCGTACACAGAAACATCCATGTCACGATCGCCTTCTGCATAGCGCAGGCGACTCTTCTTTCCCTTCTTTGCTTTACGGACAGCAGTAATGGGCTGGTAGTCAGGGTCCTTTGTCCACTCTGGGTCATCTTGCGGGGGCACAGAGGTCTCCACCTCTGCTGGCTCTTCATCTTCCTCTTCCTCCTCCACCCTTGTCCCTTGGAGCTCCTCGTGGGCTGCCTGGAGCTCCTCCTGCTCTACAGTTTCCACTTCACCATTTGCGCCCACTTTAACTACCTAGTGTAGGAATATGACATATGAATCCTACTGGAACAAAGACTTCACTGAAAATCAAAGACAATCAAAAGCACCGGGTAGCCTCAAGTCATTTCTCACCTGGAAGCCCTCAGGTAAAGGAAGAGTGTGACAAATAACTGGCTCTGCATCCTTGTTAGCCGCTGACGTCTCAACATAAGTAGCCTGGAGCCCATCTACAGTTGTAGTTGTGACAGGTACCTGCACGAGCTGAAGCTGACCCAGACCTAATGTTGCACCTGCTTGCTCCTCCATGTTCACCACCTGTGAAGAGAGACTGGACTTTATCGTTTGATGGCAAAAATAAAAGACCTGACATAGATAATCGGGCAAAAAAGTTTAAACCGTGCTCTTTACAAACCTGGAGCGTGATGATCTGGCCCTCGTCTCCACCTGAAACTGTCATTGTGCCGCCTCCCTCCAACACCTCTGTCTTCATTTGTAGAAGAGTTGGATCTAGAGCATCCATCACCATCATCTCCATGTTACCAGCGACTTCACCCTGCGTCAAGGCCTCTCCACCCTCTGGCAGGACCTTTCCATCCGTCACCTGAGCGGACTCCATGGAAACAACCTCGGCCTCCATGGCAATGAGCCAACAAATGTGCTAAACAGAAAGAACGTGAATATCTTTAGCAAAAGACTGATGTGATGGAGAATTGTTTGTAACCAAAAAGTGCTTTGTTTATTTTTTTTATTTGATCCCCCCTTCCTTTGCCCTCTGGCTAAACTGAAACAACGGGATGGCTTTCAGTAAATCCAGACATGTTTAGACCAGATGATGAAAGCACCTAGATTAACTGAACAAACAATTAAAAAAAAAACAACCCTTGTATCAATATTTGCCTGTGCGCTGAAAACATTCCCAGTGTTTGGTTTTCCTTTTCCTGAATGTGCAGTATGACAAAAAGTGCTGCCAGCAGAATACAAAGCTTTTCCATTTCCAGGATATCAATTACACCCATTTAAACTGGCAACTTTAGAAAAAAACAGTTTAGTGTGTAAAACTGTCCACAGTTTGTTTTGGGGTTTTTTGGGGCTTATACACCAAACTCCGTTTCCCTTTACTTTAAGTTGATGTCAGAGGAGCAGCATGTTTTTTTTTACTTTTTAAAACAAAACACAAAATAAAACAAACAAACAAAACCCACCTCTGCTAGGGATGAGTGATGCCCCATTTTCACCAGGGCCACCAACTAGTAACTAGAGTTGATTTAATGCCTCAACCCAACATGTTCTCTGTTTTCATTTATTTTGTGCTTTCTCATCTGAACATACATACCAAACAGCGCTCATTTTGTACAAAGTATTTTAACGTTTTTCATTTACTGGTCACCATATGTGGAGAGGGCCAGCTAGCTGCAGTTGTGTGTGATGACAAGAAACCTTGTTTTTAGTTAAAGGGTTCCACATAAAGTACCTGTTCAGATAGTTTAAGAAAAGCTCTCCTCTTCAACTGATCAGATGGGTTGTTTTACACAGCACAATGAAGAGCTGTGTCTATTTAGATTAACTTTAAGTTCGCCACAGGTTTAAATGTGCAAGCTTTAAACAATACACTAGATTATTTAACAGTTTTATTTATAATGTAAAACAAATCGCTTAATAAATTATGCTATAGTTTTACAGATTAAGCTCCCGGGATTTAGCTTTGCTTTTGGTGAGTCAGTAAAAGTATACAAGGGACCAATAAAAGTCTCATCTCCTGGACTTGGGCCCAGTAGAGACCACAGATGTTAAGACTCACCAGAGTACTAAAAACTATCATATTTAGACTCTTTACACTAAGCACGTACAGCCATTACGCAATGACACCCCGCACAAGCCAGAGTTCGAGGAGTCCGGGTCATGTAAACTAGCACCTGAGCCAGAGTGAAACTCTGGTGGACGATGCAGTAACCGTTTTTAATAACTGTGATGCAAATGTTTAAAAGAGTTTTCATTCCTGCCTTCCAGTGGTTATCTGGTTTGGCTGAACGCTGATAGGTTTTGACTGTGAGCCAGTAACAGAAATCACATTTAGTCCGATGCTTCAGGAAGCATTTGTTCGCTTGTGTGTGATTTTTTTAAGTCTAAAAATCCGTTCTCCTTCATTCTGTTCTTATCAATTCACGGGACATCGTCCAAAAGATGATGTATAGTTTAATAAGCGAAATAAAACTACTTAAATACTGTCTCTTGTTAGTTGGTTAACTCGGGAGGCGCGAGTACGTCTGAAAACAGGAAACAAAGGGCACGATAAG